TAAGTTCCAAACACGCGAAATGAAGAAGTCACAGATTTTTCCAAGATTTTCTTCCCTCAGAACCTACAGTCTGGACAAGCTGACGAATGCCCTTAATTTTCCAATAAAAAAACGATTGAAAGATCACAAACTTTCACCATTTAAAAACTCTTTCCTTTTCCTTTTCGCCTGATTTTCAACATCAAACTTCCTCTTTCTGCACCTTCATATCATAATCATTTCTAATAATTTCCCTGTTAATTATATAGGACATCAAATCATAATAATAAAGGTTGATTCATCAGCATAGATAGATTGCAAAAAACAAGGGCAGTGAATGAGTGTTATGAACAATTCTTTGTCTGTGAGCATGGGAAGTTTAAAGAATGACATAAAGAGCGAAGTTGGCAGCTTAAAGAGTGAAATAGGAAGTTTCAAGAGTGAGAATTCATACAGTAAGCTGCCGCTAGATGAGTCTTCTCTTGCTTCTTCTGAATCAAAGAAAGTGACTCCTGTCACCTCCGATTTTGAACTCAATTGTGGCAGCTTAGCACCTACTAGTCTCAGTTTCCCTGCCCTGAAATTCGAAGTGGACGATGATGTTGAAATTCAATCACCTGATAATTCCATTTGGGAATCATTCTTTGCTGATCAGCTGGAGGGAGATTTCATGATCTCTTCCCCCGTCAGGAACCATCCCTCGCCTCAGCCTGCTTCCAGTTTCAGTACTACTACTCATAGTAACAACAACAACAATAATAATAACTATAATATATACGCGCATCATCAGGGGATTCATGGGCAGAGCATGATGATGTGCTCACCTCCTCGCTCTCCTTTGGGACCTAATTACCACTCGAGTAATAAAGGCAAGGGACTGAGCCCACTCCAAAAGGTATTCAACTCTCCCAATAACCAGTTCATGCAAATTGAGAGCTTTAAACTGCCAGCTCTTGAGAGTTTCTTGGATGATGATTATGACAAGGAGGAGGATTTGGCATCCTCGTATTTGGCCCTTAAAGTTTCAGGTAGTGGTGTGGCTGGATCTTCGTCCGAGTCGTTTGATGCACTGTCGGTAGTGCCCGATCTGTTGGAGTGCCTGGCTTTGCCAAATTCATCATCTAATGGACCAGGTAGCTTTATGGGATCCTTACTTGGCGACACAAGTGCCGTCCCAGACGATGAAATTTTCCAGACGGGGTCTATCGCTCCTTTGTCCCAACAGCTACAACAAGAACGGCAGCATGAAAAGCAACAAAAACAAAGACCAATAACACATGCACAACCACCAATGACACAACAACAACATACGCAAATTATCAATCACAACTTGGTTGTTGCTGCACCTGATCAGGTACTACTTTATCTGTATTAATTTTCTTTGTAAATTTACTTCGACATTTATAATTGAGGGTTCTTTACAAGGTTAGGGAAAGGAAACCATATCTAGCTAGTACTACTCATCTTGCACGTCTTGATTTCACCTCATGCAAATATGCCAAAATTTAGACTGTCTTTCCCTCAGCGTATTCGGAATTTTAAGAGTACGGGTGCACCACTATTTTTAAATAGATGTACTTTTCAAATTAATTAGCAATTTTTAACAATGGAGTATTTTTTTTTTATGATGACACAACTTGACGAGCAAACTCTATAATATTGTTAGTATTATTTATGTCCTCTGACAAATTTTCATACTTTGAAAGCTATCAATAATAGAATTATTACTTGCAATAAATATCTTATGTTATATATATCAAGCTAAATATAAAAAAAAATCATGCCTCTTATACATAGATCTTTTTATGTACTTCTATTTCCCTATAGATACGTAATTTGCATTATTAGTTTATGATTATAGTGGGAGTTTAGATTAATTTTATTATCTTTTTTGGTACTGTTTCATGACAAAATGTAAGCCTTTTTTGAGAGATTAACCTTTTAATTTTAAAGTTTTTTTTTTTCAACGAATACTTACAACCTACTATTATCAGTGATAATCTTCAAGAGAAAAAGATGGAATCAGAACATCACATTTCATGAAACATTTTAGTGAAAGCCTTCTTTTTAAAGAACAACTTAAGGCGGTGCACTCATCGACATAAAATCAAAAAAATACAAGTGCTATACATAGTCCAGAAAGGGGAGCATAGGTTCACGTGAACCCACCTCCTCCCTCCCATATAAATCCGCCCCTGCAGTTTCCAATGCTATTTATTCAAATTAACTTTCTAATCTACCTTGTTTACAACATTATTTTTCTTTTTCAATAGTAACGTAGGAATTAAACCAAGTCAGCTAAAAACGGCAACATATCTACAGCGAATTCTAACGGCTTGCTTATTATGACCATGCAAACGTGTTTGTCCCTCTTTGTATATGGACAGAAGCTTATTAAGAAAAGAGCCTAATCCTTAGTCATCCCACAAAATTGGACTCTTTCAATCAGCTTCACTAGACAAATATAATCTATTGCTAATTTGAAGACGTTTCACTAGACAGCAATGTTCTAATTTATAGCCTGTTTGGCCAAGCTTTTTCAATCCTAAAACTATTTTTTTTTCAAAGTTGAGGTGTTTGGCCGGAAGAAAAAAAGTGCTTTTGAGGAAAAGCAGAAGCAGAAAAAAATAGTTTCTCTCCAAAAACACTTTTGAGAAAAATACACTTAGAAACAATTTTTAAAAGTTTAGCCAAACACTAATTGCTGCTCAGAAGTACTTTTCAAATTAATTAGCCAAATACAAACTGTTTTTTACCAAAAATACTTACGAGAAAAAAACACTTCTAAAAATTAGCTGATTTTTGCAGTTTCACCCAACGGGCTATTAATTTCCTAAATTATATAGGTGGCACTATGCTAATTAAAGATAAATAAGTGTAAATAATCTAATTTGAACGCATGCATGTATATATGCAGGAACAGGACAGTGGCTTACAACTGGTGCACCTTCTCCTTGCCTGTGCAGAAGCAGTCTCAAAAGAGGACTACATGTTGGCCAGAAGATACCTCCACCACCTGAATCGAGTTGTCACCCCTATCGGCGACTCCATGCAACGTGTCGCTTCCTGCTTCACCGAAGCTCTTACTGCTAGACTCGCCGCAACCCTAGCCACTAAACCCAGCACTTCTTCTGCTCCAAAACCATTCAACCCTTTCCCTCCTAATTCCCTAGAAATCCTCAAAATCTATCAAATTCTTTACCAAGCTTGCCCTTACGTTAAATTTGCTCATTTCACAGCTAATCAAGCCATATTTGAAGCATTTGAAGCCGAAGAGCGGGTCCACGTCATCGATTTAGACATCCTTCAAGGTTATCAGTGGCCCGCTTTTATGCAAGCGTTAGCAGCCCGACCCGGTGGAGCTCCGTTCCTTCGTATAACAGGAGTCGGGCCGTCTCCTGAAGCCGTCAGGGAAACGGGCCGATGTTTAACAGAACTGGCTCACTCCCTTCATGTTCCGTTTGAATTTCACCCTGTAGGCGAGCAACTTGAGGATTTGAAACCGCACATGTTTAACAGAAGGATTGGTGAGGCTCTGGCTGTTAATTCGGTGAACCGACTCCATAGAGTCCCAGTCAATTGTATTGGAAACTTGTTAGCCATGATTAGAGACCAGGCTCCGAATATAGTAACCATTGTGGAGCAAGAAGCGAGCCATAACGGGCCCTACTTTTTAGGCCGGTTCTTAGAAGCGTTGCACTACTATTCAGCGATATTTGATTCTCTGGACGCAACTTTTCCGGCGGATTCTTCGCAGAGGGCAAAACTGGAACAGTATATATTTGCGCCGGAGATAATGAACATAGTGTCGTGTGAGGGAGCAGAGAGAGTGGTGCGGCACGAGAGGTTGGAAAAATGGAGGAGATTAATGGAAGGGAAGGGGTTTAAAGGGGTGCCACTGAGTGCCAACGCAGTGACGCAGTCCAAAATATTACTGGGACTTTACTCGTGTGATGGTTATAAATTGACAGAGGATAATGGTTGTTTGCTCTTGGGATGGCAAGATAGAGCCATTTTAGCTGCGTCTGCATGGCGATGCTGATGCTGGTTTCTCTATTTGCTTCCCTTCTTCTTCCTTAATGTTTACTTGTATCAATGTATGTCTCCCCTTTTCCTTTCTTTCATTTTCTCTATTTAATTTCTTACTCAGATTGAGATTGCTTTTATCTAAGCCCAAACAAAACAAAACAAAAAGACGCATCAATGCCAAAGAGGAAAAAGAAAATGAAACAGAATTATCAAAGTTCTAGATGCATGGAGTATTATTTTTTCTGTGTAAGTAGAATGGGACCTCTTAAGATGGATTAGGTCAACATTAATTTATGATTAAAAAAAAAATTGTAAGCTTAACATGACAAATTGTTAACGAGTCCCCAAATCTGATTAGTGTTAGATTTCTCTAATGTATAAATAGGACGGTCCATTCTCAACTTGAATTGGAGAATGTGAGTCGCATCCCCTACCATGAAAGTTTTGCTGTTTAGTGATGTATAAAATCACCACTGGAAGTGGTTTTGTTTAAAGAAGAAAAAAAGAAAGAAGAAAAGTAGAGGAAACGAATTATGAGACCATAAAAGGATTTCAAGCTTCAGGAAAAAAAAAAAGTTTTTTTTTTTAGATCATATCTTTTTCGTTTCCTTATATATTTATGGTTATTCTAAAAGACAATAAAAGCTAAAGTCGCATGCTGCGTTACCTTGATATTGTAAGAATTACTCGGTTGTGTTATATACAAAAGTTGCTGAGACTTTTTTGGTAAGAATAAAGTTTACCCTGCATCACTCAATAAGGACAATTCCTCCTAAGACGACCACAAGTATTAAAAAAATAACCAGCATCCTACGTAAAGGTAGGTAGCTAGTACACTAATGTGTCAATTATTGACTAAAACGTGGAATCCATAAGTGAATTTAATTATGCGTCTGTTTGACAAGAAAATCCGAGTCCATTGACCATGATGAGAAATCACCTTCTGCGTGTCCCCATCCTTCCCTGTATTTTCCAAATGAGAAATCTGCGACTACAAATGTAAAGATGCCAACTTTATAGAACAAACGTGATAATAGGAACATGCAATAGTTACATAGAAATGCCTTTTAACAAACATGTAATAATGAGGTACATACAGATTATTAACTCAGTGACTAAAAGAGCAGGTAACCCCATGAATACCACAAGGTCAAACTGAATCACACTTGCAATCTCACAATATGGAGCACGAACAGATGCTTTTCTTTGGGGTCTCGTCAATCTTCTTTTCTGTTGCAGAAAGACAAGTCTCAGCAGCAATAAAGGTTAAGAATAAAACATCAATGGTTTAAGTTTAACAACATAACCCTGGACTGAGAATTGGCAACCGGGGGCTAGAGTAGGGGACAGCGTGTAGCAGGACCACCTCAGATCTTCAAATACAGAGCTCTCTCTCAAGGTTCAAGATACGCACATAGACGGTGAACAATTATACATGCGTCTACAAAAATACGACAGTTTGCAACTTAACAAGAAGTGGCAACGGAACTCCTTAGAACTTGGTAAGTCCACATTCATTAGATGCTCTACAAGTTGAGAGTCAGCAGTTCAGGTCACACTATAAAGAACAATTATATATGCGTCTACAAAAATACGACAGTTTGCAACTTAACAAGAAGTGACAACGGAACTCCTTAGAACTTAGTAAGTCCACGTTCATTAGATGCTTTACAAGTTGAGAGTCAGCAGTTCAGGTCACACTATAAAGAGGAAGATTATTCGGATTGTAGCAATCATCAAAAATTATGCACATCAATTGTAGACTAGCAAAATCCCTCAAAGTTGGATCTTCAGATAATTCAACAAAAACTAGCAGTGCTTGACGGTGAAGAAGTTAAGAGAATAACAATGCAAATAAACCAAAATAGACGAGGTGAAAAAGACCAAAAAAATAGCAAACAACAGCTATGCCTCAATCTCAAGCTAGCTAGAGTTGGTTATATAGATCCTCGTTGACCACATCATTCCACTCAGACTCGCATCAATCCAATATTTGAAGATTTTGATCCACACAAGTTTTTTTCTATTTCATTTTTGGTGTAAGGAAGAACTGGTAGAAGATGTGGACACACTGATAGATGCACTGAATCCTTGTAAGAAGAACAAGGATATAAATCTTGCTCTCCTTTATAATTCTTGTAGAGGCCCGACACTCACTCTCACATAACGTTATTGGTCTTATAACCGTTTTATAGAACTTGCCTATCAAACTGCATCCTCTCTATCATATAATACTCTGGTAGTATTTCTTCATTTCTTTTCTGATCAGTAAATATAAACTTAATAGCAAAAGATAGCAGCAAGCAGGTGCCTAAGTAGTTCAAAACATGAGGTAGTTTCTCCCTTTTAGACTTGGAGGAAGTCTATGAGTTCTACTATCAAGCTAGGATCCTCTAGAGAATTTACATTGCTCCACCAATACATGTTCTATAGGCATCTAAACTTCACGAACAGTAAGGATAGATTTTTATCCACAAAATATTTATGGTTTCTCGCAATCCAAACTGCCCAAGATACACAAAGAAATAGCTCTCCATATCTTCTTTTTGCTCTTGGTAATTCTTTGGCCCTGCCAGTTGTTAAGCGTATCTTATGTTTCCGGCATCACCAACAAAATCCCAAATAGATTTGGGAACATACACCAAATCTTCCATATGTACTAACAGTGCAATAATAGCACTTCTCCATTTTATCAACCATCCTATTTTAATTCTGTGTGTGATATCTTCATCAATTGTTCCATTCTCCTAGAGCCGAGATCTAAATTAGTGCATTTACGCACCATAATCCTGTCTAATCTCGCGTCACCTTACCTCTTCTTTATGCTGGCTAAACTTGCCGTGCGTAGATTCAGCTCCAAGCAACATAGATTGATAGGATACAATAAAGAGTAGAGGGAAAAAAAGGAAAAATCATAAAGACAATTCTACACCATGAAACAAGTGTTGAGTTATCATGGAATATATTCAAAGTGACATAATGAATACATGTAAAAAGCTGGTGTAATTATAAGCTTGTGTATTAAGCAACGTGTTGAGTTGCTCATCCCACCTAGAGCACATTCAAGCTGATTTTTAATAAAGCTAATTTCACTCACATAATACCCCAGCAAATATTGATCCATGATAAAGCTAATTCACTCACATAAAAACGCTGGATATGTTAACATCCCAAGTTACTGTTGTCAACACAAGATGGTGGTAAAATACTAAAGTGTAACATTAAGAATTATGCATTGATTCATTCTTCAATGCCCCATAGCAAGTTTTCATTTATGCTGATATAGAAAGTAAGAACAAGGTAAGAAATATATTGGCTTTCGATGTACATTCGCTTACAATTTTACCCTAAACATGGTAATTTTACCATTTAATTGGTTAAACAATGCTCAATTTTCGTAACTTCCTCAATTTATGTTATTGGGAGATACTTCAAGTGACATTTCCCTATCTCTATGTCATTCATTTCAACCTCAACTCCCAAAATATTTTCCACACTTGGCTATATTTTCTCTTACAAAAGTTTATTAACGAGTCCAATAAGTAGAAGAGGAATAAAAGTTATTCTAGTTCTCCATCTTATTGCCAGCCAACAAATTGCAAACATCCACCGTGTTATAGAAGGATGGTTGCAAATTTCAGCGGACATAGAGTAAATTGAATCGAATTGACAAGCATTTTTCTGTTCAAAATAGAAGAAATATTAAGATGGGATCAGAGAAATGTCAAATCTTCGCAACCTCCTCCTTTCTTCTCATAAAATAGCAATTTCTCCACACCACATGTGAAAGACTCCAACTGAACTATATCTGAATATCTTACACTCTTGCCTTAGAGAAATGTCAATCTTCTGAAAATCTTGGCAAAGCCACTAGACATCTCCAGCATAACTATGTTAGACAGATGCATTCTATGTTAGAAATAAGACTCCCACATTCAACACTGTTGCTTAAGGTTCAACACATTCAAAGGAAGAGATAAAAGCTTCTAGTTCCCTTTCTGTTTTAAGAACATAAAGATTTCATCAGGTTAAAATGTCCTAATATAAAACAGGAAGACATAGCATAGAATGCCAGCATATTCAGTAGTAAGGGGAACCAACCTGATTTTGCTTTAGCTATAGATGGTTGTACAACAGCATGCATGGTAATTATACCATTTGGTAGCTCGCCAAAAGGCGTCTTGCATTGACCAACACTCCTGCTGTTTTCCAAGATTTTGCCAGCACATATCAATTTTACATCATTTGCCGCCTTGGGTGCAATTTTTTTATCTGCAGTGAAAACAACTGAATCTTATTAAAACAAAGCCCATAGACAAAAGGTACAAAGAAGCATATGAACGAATCCCTTTTCAAAGACCCCTGCAAATAAATGGACCATCAGAAAAGTAATAAAGCATGATATAAGAGGAAGGTGTCAAATCTTAAAGTTCAGATGTCTACTCACTTTCTTGCACGATATAGAGCAAACATAAAGGTGGTTTTTCCAGGCTCAAAACTCTATCACCTTTACCAACATAGGTTTATAGTTGTGAAAATTTGGTCTTGGGTTTACCCCCTTTGTTTGATAGGGGTGAAAATAGGGCATATTGAAGGTTCAGTCTTAAAAGTGTAGAAACTTAAAATTCTCTTCTAATTCTGAAGGAGTAGCGGTTTGTGTGTCTTGCTTTGGCTCTGGACGAACTTTACCTGTAGCTAACCCAAAAGGCTTCAACTTTTGGCTGATCTTTTTATTTATTTTTCTTTTTTCTTTTTTAGTGTGAAGGTGGGAAAGTACTTTTTCTTCTGTTCTCTTCAAAACCAGAAAGCTCCTGGTTGGAAAATTTACTTAGCTCGTCCTGCAGTACGGTATTTGAACACTGAATGACAGAATTTTACTTTGCTTTTTTTTTTTTTACTTTATTGTTAATATTTATAGTTATTTTCCTTGCATTAGATATATATTCTTTCATTTTTTTCCCTCAGCACCTTGTTTCACTATGCATATGTATCAATTTTTGTTGTGCATTTAAAATCTCAATAGACCTTGGTGCTTTCCTGCGCTTTTGGCCTTTGAGAGCACCACATTTAACCCTATCAAGAATCCTAAGGTCCATGGGTTCTATTTCAAGCTTTCCTAGGCAAATGAGTAGGACCAAAACGCTTAGTTGTCAATCTTTGATGGAGTCAATATGATTTGGTGTCATTAGCTCGATGATCTAGCTATCAAGTCCCCACTCTTAGAATTCAGCATATATCTGACAATTTGGATACATATTCTACTTTCATGTACAACACTATGAATCATGCAATTTTGGATCTAGGTAACACTGTCTGGATGTAGGCTGATTCACTCTGGTGATGGTGGTGATTTTGATCTTAAAGATGGATAATAAATATATACCCTAAATTTTTTGACACTATGAACCGTAGGTTGGATATATTTACTTTTTGTTTTTAAAGAATATATGACTGCAGTGAAGGGGAGCCTTGGCGTAACTGGTAAAGTTGTTGTCATGTGACGAGGAGGTCACAAGGTTCAAGGTGTGGAAACAGCCTCTTGCAGAAATGCAGGATAAAACTGCGTACAATAGACCCTTGTGGTCTAGCCCTTCCCCGAACCCCACGCATAGCGAGAGCTTAGTGCACCGTGATGCCCCTTTTTTAATATATGACTTTAGTAGTATGAATACATTCCCTTAAAGTGATTTTGTCATATCATATGTGCAAGCAAGCAATCATAAGTGCAGGAATATCGAGAGGATGCATACAGGAATTTCTCATAATCATGGGTTTACACCAGGCGGCTGGCTTATATTGAGCTAACTAATAGTATACACTATACAAGATGAGATTCTATGGTGAATGATGTGGGCTTACAACAAGCATCTTCCTTGAATGGCTTCTTGTTTACCATAGTTATGGACAAAGTAACTAATATACATAGGATGATATTCTAAGGCCTTTGATATTGCATATGATGTTGTGCTAAATGACGAAACTAGCAAGGGAGTTGACACAAAGCTGGAAATATGGAGAAACCCTCAAGATAGTGAAGATTTTTGGAGAACTAAAAATAAGACCAAATATATGCAGCCTAAGACTCCTGAACCCAATGATAAAAAGAGCACTAAAACAAATACAACACACAATTCTTTCATGTGAAACATCAAGGCACATGATGAAAGTTCACACCAGCTAATAAAACTTCTGAATAAGCAGCACGAAAGCTTGAACAGACTACACTAGAAACTCGGGACTCATACGAACTTATTGAAGATGAGTCATTTTAAACGGAATTGACGTTCAGAAAAAGAAATACCTCCCTACAGTTCTTGACTCAAAAAATTCTGCAAAGATACTTTCTATCATTAATTCAATATTAGTACATTTGCGACTTATCTCCACAAGGTAGAGGTAAGGTCTGCATACACACTACCTTCCTCAGACTATGGGATTATACTGGGTATGTTGTTATTGTTGCGACTAACACTAGCACTCTTGGACTTTTCCAGAGGAGTTGCCACTTGACACAAGCTTTCTAACTAATAAGCCTGACCATGAACGGTATAACAAATTCAAAAGCTGCCTATAAGTGACTTAATCTAACAAAATTCAACTTTCAAATTATGCAGGTGTCCTTTAGACTATTATTTTTTAATTATCATAGTGTTCAGGCCAGCTTATGCGCACCTCAACTAACTCAACAGAGTACCTGCTACCTCCCACCAACATGTACCTGGTAAGTAACTCTATCCACCAATGCTTAGATATATGAGAAAGAAATCACCTAGTATTTTTGCCAGGATGTGAACCTTTGACCTCGTGGTTCTCAATACACTTCATCGACCACTAGGCCACACCCTTTAGTCCCCCTTTTAGAGCTAATTTTCAATGCAAAGGATCACACTGATTGTAAAACTAAATAAGCTAAAACGAGAGTTGAAAGTCCTTAACTTTTTAATCAGGGAGGCATCATATGTGGGCAAATTACAACAACTGAAAACATGGCAAGACTGGTTATACATAGCCCTGAAAAGAATTACACGATGCTTGACTTCTAACTAGGAAAAAAATATTAAAATTAGCAAAGTAGGGAGGTAGAAAAAAAAAACCTTTGGGCCACTCGGCGACAATTCTCTCTTTAAGCATAGCTATGGTGGAAGCAGGTGAGTAGCGAAAAGGACCAATATCTGATCCATCGTACAACCGAAATTTGAGCTCTATCAAGTCCTCCTCCGGCATTTGCCCACCGTCTTCACTTGTTTTCCGATCAACACCAACCAAACCTCCAACCTTCACTGGACTTCCCAAATTACCCTCAGCTCCTGAAGCCAAACACAGAAATTGAGTACACGCCGTTGAACCACTCAAACCCCATAGTTTAAAAAAGGGAAATAAATTAACTTCTAAGCTACAAGTATAACACGAATATAAAAATAAATAAAATATTAACATGTACCAGTGATTAACGAGTAGTGAAAGAGCAGATTTGAAGTATTATTGAGTTTGGTTGCATTGAATTTAGTAAAAGGGAGGGAGAAGAAACCAGGAACCCTAGACCCCAAATCGATGACGTTGAACGGGAAAGTAAGACGGAAAAGGAAAGAAATGTAAAACAGTGAAGAGCTTACAAAATATATACAGTGGTTAAAACCCTTTCCTTTTTGGTTTTGTGTATGATTGGAGTATGATTTTGACGTCAGGTTGCTGTAATGGCAAACAATTTCCGCTTCCAACCAAGAGTTCGTAAGTTCGAGTTTCCCAACAATAAGGTGGTGATAAGTGATGTGAGGGACTATTTAGAAACAGCTTCTCTACCCTAATATAGGGCTAATATAGGGGTAAGATTTGCGTACAAACTAACTCCCAAACCCCACTAAGTGGGATTACGCTGGATTTTAGAGTGTATGCCACGTGGCTCACGGCTGGCTCGAGCTGTTGTATCACTTTTTTCTGTTCGTTTTTTCACTTTGCATTTTAATGGAGGTTTTCTTTAATTTACATTTTTATCTTTTTACAACTATTATTATTTAATAAAATCATAAGGTATATCTTTTCGATAAATCGTAAGGTGTTTGAGTCATTTTTGCATCCTATGTTTTTTGCTCTTTGCTTTTATGATAAATGATTTATGGATGAGATTAATTACTTTGTACCTTTCATGATTGTGAGAGGCGAACCATCTTTAGAAACATTGAAAAAGTGATAATTTGCACACAAAACAACTTGAGCTTTTCTTTGTTTTTTTGAGAGTTTTCCAATAATTAAGTGATTTTATTGTGATAAAAAATAGGAAAGTGACTTTACTAATTAACTCCAAACAATTACACTATTTTTTACGCTAAAATGAAATATTTATTTTATATTCTTCTCTCTCTTCTATATTCCCTCCGGTTCACAATAAGTGTCCAATTTGCTTTTAGCACGCCCATTAAGAAAATATTAAATTCTATACAAAAATATCTACTATGACTTAACTACCCCTAATTAAATATTTAATGTGAGGAGTAAGAAAACTTTTTAGGGATATGTACGTAGAGGTTATTTTGTAAAAACAAATTAAATTCTTTCTTGATTACATAATACATAACTGGTCACTTATTTGAACCAAAATGAAAAAGCAAATTGGACACTTATTATGAACCGGAGGGAGTATTATATTAATTTTTTATTTAAATTTATTTTTTATTTCATAAAACAAATCGTTTCTTTTTTCTTTTTTTACATGTTAATCCCAAATAATTCATGCCTTTCTTATTTAACCATTTAATATAAAATTATTTTATATCATAAATTTTTAAATAATATAAATTGTAAGCAAATATTATACATATTAATGGATAATTTAAATAAAAATAAAATCATTGATAAGATATAATTAAATAAATATTATTTTATGGTAAAATTTAATGAAATTTTTACATAAATAATCAACTTTCAGGATTAGTATGCCGCTCCCATAAATGCTCTATTAATGCATTACAGAGTGCAAAATGAGCATCTTTGTCTATAAAAATAATATATACGAAAATTAATTTATAAAAATTATACACCAAAATCAAAATATAAAATTAATATTATAAAGATATTACATAAAAAGTATAAATAATTACAAAATTTATAATATATTAATTTAAAAGTCAGTATATAATAAAAGATAATAATAAAACATTAATGAATAGTAACGGTGTTGATGGTGTAACATTATTCACACACCAAAATGGGGTAAGAAATGGCGTTAGGTTGGAGCACGAAAACACTAAATCTTACATCAAAATAGCGTTTGGCATCAAAAATGGTGTTGGGTTGGAGATGGTGTAAGTAATTTAGTCACCTTGAATGATCATTTGAGGAATTTACTTCAAATTCCATTTAACTAAAAGAAGTTTTCTTTTAAGTTATAGGAGCATTATCTTGAAGCACATTAAAAATGAGTGATATTCTCTTAAATTCAGTATTAAGTGGTAGTAGTACAATATACCTTCTCTTCTATTTGTAATGAAACCTTCCTTCTTAGTACAGTTAAAAAAGAGCCATAACAACTCTAGGATAAGTAAAAGAAAAATTGAAACTGAGTTTGTACAGGCGAGGTAGAACATTGCACTATAGCAGACAAAGTAAAAGTAAATTAGGAAGTGATCATATGTAAAGAAATGTGGAAATACATTTTTCTTATTCACTTCAATTCTCTTTAGAAGCAGCACGTTACAATTTTTTTCCCAGACCATTAAGACTTTTAACTACAAAAAACAAGTAAAACAAAAAATCTTCTCTGGTCATGAAGTAGAAAAAAAGAAAAGATTGGTAAATCTAAGCAACTCCACTTCCGCTGTAGTAAAGTAAAAAAAAAAAACAAGAGGAAGAGAGAAGAGAAGATCTTGCTCAGACTCTCCGAAAACGTCGTCGGGTGCGTATCGGATCCTCAAAAGTATTGTATTTTTGGAAGATCCGATACGGGTGCGGCAGCATTTTGGAGAATCCGCGCAACACGATTAAGGCCAGAGAGCACCAGCCTCTTTCAAAAGTGGAACTAATGTGCCATTAATGTGAGCTGCCATGACACTGTCCATAGCTCCAACCAACTTCCCACCTATGAAAACAACAGGCAAAGAAGAGGAGCTGCCCAAAAGACTCATTAAAGCCTGCTCCCAACTGGAGTTCTCATCTAATTCATAAACTGTTGGGTTGACACCCATTCCACAGAAAAGCTTCTTGATTGCGTGACACATGCAACAAGTATTATTGCTGAATATCACCACTGCATTCCTTGATGCCATTCCCTGTACTTCTTCCAATGGGTCACCACCACCCATCTTAAAATTCTCAGGTAGGTAAGAATTCCAAGGCTCTGTTTGATAGTGCATTCTATTTATTTCAATTATGAGAATGTCTATAGGGATGAACGAAGGATGAACGAAGTTAACTTTATTCAAGTATGGGAGGTGCAAGACAAGTGAGTCGGTTAGCTCAATTATCCTTGTGGTGAGTGAGGATGATTCAGGTATTTACAACTAGAGGTATTTATAGAGAATCGCAGGTGGATAGAGGTCTTGGGTAGTGAAGTGTGGTGGGACTGGTTAACTGTCCTTGTTGTATTTTAGCATAAATACAATTTCAGCATTTGGCTTTGTTCTAGCTTATGTTGATCCAACACATTTACCCAAAGAATAAAATTGCAGGCTTTTGTCTGAAAAGGGAGTCGAGTTCTGAGACTAGTTATTGTTGTTGTTACATAGAGGGCTGAAATATTTATAAGTCAGGAACGTGACTTTCATAAACTTAACAATGAGCCGTCCTTGTTCAGTATGGTTCCCTTTTTAAAGGAGACATTTGTCTCTGCTTTTCGGCTGATTCTAAAATATTGAGACAGTTTTACCTTCTGACCTCACTCCTTATTCATATCAAACTTTAATTTGGACGGCTGCTTTTGGACAAATTCCCGACATTTTGTCTCTTTTGCTATTGTGTAAAGACTCGCGTGTTTTTTGAAACAAAATAGGGAGTACCAGGTAGTAGTTGAAGTAGTAGTTCCCTGATATAAGAGCAGTTGCATATAGTAGGACTAAGAGTAGCTTTGGGGAGACAAAGTTGCTGCACTTTTTGCAATATCAACTTCCTTTTCTTTTTTTTCTTTTTTTTTTTTTTACAGAATGATCCATTGTGATGAAAATGCATGCAGTAATGCAGAAAAAATTTACTCCCTCCGTTCCAATTTATGTGAACCTGTTTGACTGGGCACAGAGTTTAAGAAAAAAAAAGAATTTATGTGAACCTATTTGACTGGGCACGGAGTTTAAGAAAAAAATGAAGACTTTTGAAATTTGTGGTCCTAAACAAGTTAAAATGGGGTCCAAAGTATTCGTGTAGTTATAAAAGCTTCTCATTAAGGGTAGAATTGGAAGTTTAAGCTAAATTGTTTCCAAATTTAAAAATTCTTTTTGGAACGGACCAAAAAGAAAATAGGTTCACATAAACTGGAACGGAGGGAGTATTTTGTTATTTTGTACCTCACGCAAGTAGTGCATGCAGAAAAATTATTTTGTGCCTTGAGAAAGGAAGGGAAAAATGAGTCAGTTGTCCACTTCTTGTTGGTACAGAAACTGACAGCAGGACGGCGGCGTTAATCAGTTTTTGTTCCCCCATAAGTTAATGAGTTTGTCGTCGACGTGTTGGGTCAATTCTTACTCCTTATTTTTTTTACTTACTCCCGAGATAGTTAACATATGGGTTTCTCTAAAAGCTGTGTCACTGTGTCAGTTTGGTCGAGTTTCATACTTCACCTTCGACCCTTTTGGGGCAGGCTCAACCAATATCCATTGTATCTTTCTTGACTCAAAATTGGGTCGTGCTGTCCACACCATTTCTATAATCAATTTGGGTAGATGAGGGTGGTGGTCTGTTTATTTTTTTTTGGGAACATCACGTGCGGTCATCATTCTTACCTTTTCCTCGCTTGTTTAACCAAGGGGACACGAATGATTGTCTCATAGCCTGTTTGCTTCCTCTGAATATAAAATTGCTAGGAAGTCACAAGTGAACAAACGTGGTTGACATTGTGAAGATAGTGAAGTACTCGAACAAACGACTTTTTTATAGTGCAATACTAGGTCAGTATTATATAAACACCAACAACCTCCAATCTAGAAATAAAATCACAACATAAGTTACATAGTTACAATGTGAATAGCCTAATTGTATACATCAGACTAGCTAATTATGTAAAAGCTGTCAAGAACCCTAAAATTAAGTGAGAGAAGCTAAGTATGATTGTATTTGCTCTAAATTACCAAACAAACCATTCTAGGCACCACAGGGAACTGTCAATCCTATTGACGGGTAACGGGTGCCATCGGCAAGGATGAAGACTGGCTATATAAACTACTATCAGTTGAATACCCTTGGTAGGCATTTGTTGTGGGAGATGTAAAAGGAGAAACCCCATTGACAGGAGGCACAACTTGGAGAAAACCAGGCAATGCTGAAGGTTGCTGGCTTGTCGCGAAAACAAATGCTGAATTAGGCAACTGCACAGATGTCTGCATGCACTGAGGCACTGGATATGGCTGCATAGGAGGCAGGGGTGGCAACGGTGGAGGCGATGATGGTAGAGGAGGCGGTTCAATTGGAGCAGATTCCTGAGCTGTGCTCGGGAGATTGTGTTGCATTGAGAAGGATTGAGAGAAAAATGAGAGGGGTTCTTGAGGGTTCTGTGAAGGGACATAAGCTGAGTGGTCATTTTCAAGCTTCACCCTTTTCTCCGATTGATTATCGTGGGAAGATTCTTTACTTGAGTTGCCTATGACACCCTCGGACGCCAAGGATGAGAGAACATAAGTCAGCATCTGGGCTGAAGATGTTGATGCAGTGAGCTTTGCTGCCACTGCAGCAGCTGCAGATTTCATATCTTCATCAAGGTTGCCAGATTTTTCATAAGATACCTGTCGAGTGTACATCACTGGAGCAGATTGCTCTCGATTTCCTGCTACGTATGCCTGTGGAGCTTGGGAGGTACTCGCTTCCTTTCGATTCTGCTCAGGCAAGATTTGCCCATTGGCATCACAATTCAGCAACTGTTTACAAATATTGCCTGCCTGATCTGCGTGGGACTGAGCAGCCTAAAAGTAAAGTGATGGAACATCATAACACTGTTTAACTAGGCACAAATGTAGACCAGAAAATGTAGGAAGATAGCAGTATTAATACTTCATGTCAGTAGAACACTTTACTGCAAAATAAAAGCACTTTTTTTCCTTCTATACATATTTTACTTTTGAGGAATAGGATATGCTGGTACTTCCAATAAGCTTTTCCTTCTCTACATGTTTTTTCCTTTTCACAAAGAAAAACACAAAGAAAAACGATAACTTCTCCAAGCAAGCATGAGGTTTATCTCTTTCCTCGACTACTCAACTATATTCGACCCCCTCTATGAAACCAGTATCATGTCATTATAACCAAGTATAATCAAGCATTTCATTGTTTGAATGAGACCATCTGATTTCATGATTCACCTAAAAGATCAATAACGCATTTAACGGAAATTAATAAGCATGTTACTTACCTGAAGTTGATTGCGGACTTGATCCAGCTTATATTCCTGAGGAGAAACCCGTGGCGCTACTCAATCAAGAGCGAAAGAACAAAAGCAAACAGGGAGATGGAAAGATGTTGAATTCACCAAAACTGGATGACTAACCTGCTCTTGGAGGACCTCTCTAAGATGAGAGATGAGGTTTGCCCTGGATGATTCAACAGTTGTGAGCTGCTCAATACAGTCCTTCAATATAGTGTGTTGCCCCTTGAGCTCATCCACTATACCAGATCCATTAAGATGGCCTGAAGAGCAAGGGAGGAGGTCGATAAGACCACAGCATGACATAGCAAGTATCAAAAGAAAAAATAAATAAAATACAAATCAAGAGAGGAAAATAAGGTATTAAACAATCAATTAGATGATCAACAAATAAAGACCACAATGCCCTACGGTTTAAAAGTGTTCCTTAAACCATGCCCATGAAAGCTGGCTTCTCTGACTAGAAAATTTCACAATACACACCTAAGAAACATGACTTGATTAAAATATTTTGTAACTATTCCATTTTTCTCTTAAATAAGACTGGCACAATCATGTGCTCCTCTACAATAATAAAGCACATAAAATTTCCTTAATTCTCCAAAATTGAAGAGAAAGTGAATTGGTTAACATAACAGCAAAAGGTAGGCAACACATTTTTTAAAATCAACAAGATTATAGTGTAGGACTCTAAGCAAGTGCTAAACAAACACAGCCCCATAAAATTACTTCAAAGATGATATAGATGTTAATAACTTTAGCTAAAGGAAATTACTGACATTGGTGTGCGGGGCAACTTGCACCCATCTCTGATAGTTCCATCGGTTACCTGCTACCTCCCACTAGCAAAGGTACCGAGTAACTTTTAGCTAAAATGATAACTCATGTTTCTGTTTTGCTTGATATTTTTTTTTATTTTTTGATGAAATAAATTGTTGTATTAAAAGGCATCAAGAAGATGCAAGAGTACAAGAAGCTACTTACAAGAAGTAGATATACAAAAAACAAAAGTGACTTGCTCGCCCCTATACAATGTCTCAATCTAGGACAAGAGAGCTAATAAACCAGCAAAAAAGATTGGTTAAACATTTGGCTTTAATAGAGTGGTTTGGAGTTGAGATGCCATCAAAACATCTTTTGTTTCTCTCATTCCATAAACACCAAAAAACAACTGCAGGTATCATAATCCAGATCTTTTTGATGGACTTATCAACTAGCCAAAGACTCCAACTCAAGTACGCGTCTCTCAGATTTTGTGGCATGACCAACTTATCCCAAAAATACTATAGAGCATGTTCCATATATCAATGGCTACTGGACAGTGCAGGAAGAGGTGACTGATAGATTCCTGGTTCCTCCTGCATAGATAACATCTATTAACCAGTTGAAACCCTCTTCTGTTGAGATTATCTTGAGTTAGGCAAGCTTCATGTAGGGCTGTCCAGTTGAAACCAATGACCTTCACTGGTAATTTGGTCCTCCATATCAGCTTCCAAGGCCATGCATCAAGAACTTGATTCTGAGAATTGAGTTGCCTATGACATTCTTTGACAGTGAAACTACCCTTACTGTCCCATCTCATCATATCCAAAGCATTCCCATCAATATTGTAAGCCTCCACTTTGGCTATCATTTCCATCAAGCTTTCAATCTCCCAGTTTTGAGCTGCTCTTCTAAAGTGCACATCCCAAGTATTGGTAGTTCTATTTTGAGCAATTGAGGAGTTCTTGTCCAGGGCAAAGTGGAAAAGATTAGGATAGTCCTCCATAAGGGTAGAATTGTTGAGCCACTTATCTTTCCAAAATTTGATGTGTGCTCCATAGCCCGGCTTGAAATGGACATTCTGGAAAACTTTATTCCATTATTCCCTAACTTGCTAATATACTTCCAAGGTCCTACTCCGTAGGGGGCATTGACAATTTTAGTGCCCCAATTATCATTTTCCCCATGTTTAGCATTGATCACCTTCTTCCAAAGACTTGCATCATTTGTACCATACCTCCATAACCACTTCATTAGAAGACACTTATTTTGCATGGCAAGATCTCTGACCCCCAACCCACCATTGCACTTGAGCTGCACGACTTTGTCCCACTTTACCAGATGAAATTTGTGAGAACTACTATTCCCCTCCCATAAAAAGTCTCTCCTTAATCTGTCCAGCTTTTTTAGCACCTTTATAGGGATGGGAAACAAGGACATGAAGTAAGTAGGAATACTNACACCCCATGATTTCTGTCAGGTCCTCAATGTTAAGTACATTATTGACAAGGTAGATGATACTTTTCAGTTTGTTGACATGTAGACCTGATAAGGCTTTGAAGAGCAGTGTAAGATTCAAGTACATGATTTGAGTTCTATTTGCCTCACAGAAGATCAGAGTATCATCTGCATACAATAAGCGTGATATAGTAATAGTGTTCCCAATGTTTGTACCTACATTGAATCCCTGAATCCACTGCATTTGCCTGGCCTTTTCAATCATTTTACTTAAACCCTCCATGGCTAGTATGAACAAGAAAGGAGAGAGTGGATCCCCTTGCCTTATTCCTTTTTTAGGAGAGAAGAAGCCCACAGGACCTCTGTTCACTAAGACCGAGTACTTGACGGTAGAGATGCAATACTTGATCCACTTTAACCATTTGTCCCCAAACCCCATTTTCCTCGAAATAGAAAGCAAGTAGGACTAATTAAGTTGATCAAATGCTTCTCTATGTCCAATTTACACATCACACCAGGTTCCCCATTTTTAATCCTCCAATCCAAGACCTCATTAGTAACTAGAGCTGGATCAGTTATCTGTCTTTGCTTGATCAATGCATTCTGGTGAGCAAACACCAGTTTTCCTACAACTTTCTTCAATCTTTCTGCCAGCAGCTTGGCCACAATCTTGTATACACTACCAATAAGGCTAATTGATCTATAGTCCCTAAGTTCAATAGCATCATTCTTTTTTGGAATCAGTGCAATAAATGAAGCATTGCATGATTTCACCATGTAACATTGCTGATAGAATTGATTAAGTGCAGCCATGATCTCTGGTTTGATGAAATCCCATGACTTCTGGAAAAAAGCCATAGTGAAGCCATCTGGTCCTGGGGCTTTATCAAGGGAACATGACTGAATGATGGCATGTACTTCTTCTTCCTCAAAGCATTGCTCTAGCGTCTTTCTTTCTTCTTCTGATAGGCTGGCAACATCATCAAAGCTGGAAGTTGGTCTCCACTCTTCATTTTCTTTGTAGAGATTCCGGTAGTAGTTCAAGATCTCCTTCTTGATCAATTCTTTATCATCTGTAATCCCATCACCTATCTTGAGCTTGTCAATAGAATTATACCTCATGTGTGACTTGGCCATTGTATGGAAATATCTAGTATTCCTATCCTCTTCTTTTAACCACAAACATCTAGATTTCTGCCTCCATGAGGTTTCTTCTGCTTTAGCAATCTTTTCCAACTCCATTTTCAGAGCTAAGAACCTTTGCTTTTCAAGCTGGTTAGGAGCTCTGCTTTCAGTTGCCTGCTCTAAAACTGACAACTCATCTAGCGCTCTGCTTCTCCTCGTGTCTAGCTTACCAAAGACTTCCCTGTTCCAGTTGGTAATATCTTTTTTCAAGCACCTCAGCTTCTAGATGAGTACAAAATCTGGACTGCCACCTATTGTATAGTTCTGCCAACACCCCTTTCACCATATCAATGAATCCTTCTTGTTGCAACCACATATTTTCGAACTTGAAATAAGATGGTGTTGTGTCCCATTCTCCACTTTCTAACAACAAAGGTATGTGGTCTGAAATAACTCTTGGAAGAGCCAATTGTTTGACAGCATTGAAGCTTTCATTCCATTCTAGAGAGACTAGGAATCTATCGATCCGTGAGGCTTGGAAAATGTCCTCCCCTCTTGACCAGGAATATTGAGCCCCTTGTAGAGGCAAATCCATTAGTTGCAGATCCACAATTGTTTATGAGAAGCTCTTCATAGCTTTGATTCTTCTAGTACAATTCAACCTATCAGATTCGAACCTACAAACGTTGAAATTCCCTCCTACGACCCACTGATCACCCCAAATTCCTCTTATTGCACCTAGTTCCTGTCAAAAGACCTCCCTCTCTATATTGTTGTGAGGTCCATATACACCTGTAAAACCCCATCTAAAATCTTCATGTAAGCTCTCAAGGAAGCAAGTCATTGTGAAGCAACCTTGAAGAGAATCAATACACCTCCACATTCTCTTATCTCACAAGATAAGAATACCACCCCTAGTGCCACTAGCCTTCAATGCTGCCCAATCTACCCACATATTCCCCTAAATTTGGTAAATCATAGAAGTTGGAATGCTCTCCATTTTGGTTTCTTGGAGACACAAGATGTCAGCTTTCTATTTTCTAACTAGAGATACTAGAGTACTCCTTTTATTTTCCTTGTTCAGACTGCAAATGTTCCAGCTGAGAATTTTTACTTTCATGTGGACATATTCTTGCCATACCTACCCCTATCCCTTTTGTTTCTTCCCTCATAGTTGATATTGCAAATTAAATTTTAAACCTCTGTACCACCTTTTTTCCTCCCTTTCCCCTTTCTACTAGCTGAAGATGGTGAACCCCTGTTTTGCAATTGAACCTGTCTTTTTTTATCCATTCTCGTAATTAAATCGAAAATTTCATGCTCAAACCCCACTGTATTGACCCCAAATGCCTTGCAAATTTTTCCCATAACCAATTTGGTCCACTTGGAGGTTTCTATTGTTGTAGGTTGCTGAATACTCTGTTGGATTCCATGAACTTCCAATTGCTCTCCTTCATGCCATGGTAAAGGAAGTGCCTCAGTGTAGGAATCAGATTCTGAGCACATTAAGGCAGTAGAAGCAACTTCTGACCAACCCAGTTGTTGAGGAAGACCCCTGAGGTTGGCCAAAAGAGATTCTGCTTCATCAGCGGCTTCCAGATATGTTTCAACAGTTGCATGCGGCAGGGATTCATCAATTGACTTCGTGGCTTGA